GCTTGTGCGGTTCACGGATACCAACGGCTCACTAACTTCTCTCTCTGCTTGCGCCGAAAAAATGAATGCCAAACAAGCACCTCAAAAGGTGAGCAAACTTGGAAGAGGCTGCATGACGTTCCATGCATGTACGACCACGCACAGAGACGCCTGCAGGCAGCTAAGTATCTCCCCGGGCCCAACTCCCCGCCAGCGCGCGCACACAATTCTTAGAAGTAGTCCCATGCACTTACGCTGACATCAGGGACAGGGCAAGTCGCGAACACCGCATCCTCGACTAATTACATCCTCGAAAAGCTGATGCTGAACATATGACATAGCAGCGAAGCAAGTGGTCTTCAGGGACACATCACATGACACCTTTCGCAAATGACAAACTGTTCGAGGAGCACAAACACGCTGACACTGCAGGGCCTTGCAACTTGTCCCGCCAGACCTGTTTGGCCACGAGGTGTCAAAGAAACAACCTCGGGTTCTGCTCGTGAGCGCGCTCTGCGCGGGCGCGGTTCTCCGAGACATGCACCAAGACCACGGGCAGGAGACTTGACTGATAGACATGCTTGTGAATGAAATCAGGCTTGACAACTTCCGCACAAGGCGCTGACGTAAGGTCGATGCCAAAGGCCAGCTGCAAGCATCAGACGAAGGAGCAGCGGATGCTACAATGCTGGCGATGACGCAACCTTCAGGCTGGCCTACTGTCAGCGTGCATCTCACCGGCACGTGCCTTGGCACGAACAGGTAGGCTTGGAACACAATGCCCTTCAACTGCAAGGGGCGTTGCCTCGAAGTGATGTAAAGGTCGATGGCCTGCACCGCGCAGCAACATTGAATAAGTACACTATACATTTGAGCTTGTGTCTGAGCTGCCTCCACACTGTCATCTGAAGAGCATTACTTCCCTGCTCGCTTGTCGCAGGAACCAGATTGAGAGAGTGAAGCAATGCGAAGTCCACCTAGGGGAGGCGAGGGCGGAGTTCAACATCTCCTAAATCTGTGAAAGCTGGTGTTGCCAAGACTGCAGGGAATGACCTGCAAAGAAGGTATCATCATCACGGTGCGCGGCCAGAAGCAATGCAGTCGCACACGGGTCGCCCCTGCCAGGCGAATTTTAATGCCCCAGCCGCAAGCCCGTGTCCCTCTTCATTTAGACATGCCGGTCGTACTGATCATTTCCGGCAGTGGAAGTGGACAGAATCCAGGGAACGGCATGCCGGAGCCATGTCCTGAACAGAAATGCATGGTTCCAGTGTCCACTTCTTAGGCTTCACCACGGTTCAGACGACTTCAAGCCTCCCGAGGCGCATGTCAGTGCCATGCTGGTCAATGGGAGCCTCTTACAAACGCCTTGGGCCAGCACTGCAAGGCTGCAAGGGTTGGCTGTGTGTCCAAGTCAAGACCCATGTCCCATGACCCGAACAAGTTTTTCGGCTAGCGCTGTTTTCGCACCTCAAAGCCGAATCAAAGCGTTGCATGCAGCTGCGCAGGATCACTGCAAACTTCGCACAGACTATGCGACTGAACAGTAGCAGCTGGGCTTGGGTTTCTTTGGGTTCCTGCAGGGTTCGTTACGGGGTTCTATGTCTTCTTTACACGTTCGTTTGCCTCAAGGGTTCTACAAAGATAGAGTGTCGATTTTAAGATTTCGTTGTGGGTTCTGAAAAGGTCTAGGAAGGCATTTGACAAGGGCTGTCGAGCGGATATTGCCCCGGTTGAGGGCTTCAGGGCTCATGGGTTTTAGAAGTTTAAGGATTGGGGTTAAGGTTCACGGCTTTGGAGCTCTGCGACTCTTAGGGTGTTCAGGGCTTGTCGCCTTATGGGTTTAGGACTTGAGGGCTCTTCGAGTTTGGGGTTTCTGGACGGAACCACCAAGCTTCTGCAATGTAGGCCCAAACAGGGAAAGGCATACAGCCACATCCTGCAGCCGTCCCCCGTGTGCTGAAGCCTTGAACTAAGCCTGAAACCCTTCATCCTCGACCTAACCCCAAACCTTAAACCCACTGAGTGGTACTACCTGGACCTTCAACCCCATCTTGCCGGGCTTCGCGACTCGGGGGTTCAGGCTAGGGGACTTCAGTGCCGCTCCACCGGCACCTGCAAAACCTGTGCCAAATGGGAGCTTCAGAGCATCGGACACAAACATGATACAGCCAGCTGGAGTCTCACCACTGAGGCCCAGGCCTCCCTCCGGGCCAAAACCTCAAAAACAGACTATACTGTACAACACGACACCTGGGATGCAAGGGCGCACGACGCTCCAAAAGAACATGCAGTTAGCGTATGCCGCCCCACCAGAAACGACACCACCTCCTGGTCCACAAAAGACCCAGGACTTCGAAAGAAGTGCACCCCGCTCTGGGGCATTGAATCCTGGTCCACAGTACGGCCCAGGACACCGACACAAACATGCAGCATACTCCACATCACCAGAGACGAGACAACCTCCTGGTTCACAGAATGATCCAGGACGCCGAAAGGAAGGAACGCGAAGGCACATTCACGCAACTGGACCAGTACGCTTCCGTACTTAGCATGACGATGTACGGGCTGGGATCGCTGCCAATCGCTGCCATACTCCTCCAACTCGAACTCGGCCGTCACCCGGAGTCACCCGCACCTGAACAGAGGGACAATGTTGCCAGGCAAACGAGTGTAAACACGAGCCTGCACATCAGCACGAGCTGGGCTCGCGCTTCATCTGTGTATGCGCGGTGGATCTTGGCCAGCTGCAGAGCGAGCTTGGCAACCTCCCCAGGTTAAGACGCTGAGAGCAGTCCCGGCAGCCCGCGATGCCCCAACTCCGAACACTTTGGTCCATCCCCCGCGCTTCTGCAGAGAGCGACTCCTCTCCAGTCCTCCGGCTCGTGCAAACGGACGAGGTAGTTCATGGAACAGCTCTCCGAACAGCTCCGGGCAAAGTGCGGTCGGGCGGGAACAACTATCGGAACAGCTCTGGCCAAGGGGGGTTGGGTCGGAACAAGTTTTCGGAACAAGTCTGGAACAACTTTCCGGAACAAGTTTCGAAACAACTTTCGGAACAAGTTTTGGAACAACTTTGTAAAGGAAAATAGTGAGGAGTACCTAGAATCCAGGCCCCGGCAAAGGCCTGGAGCCCCAGAAGGAATCCTCCGAATCCGGAGGTAAAAGCTGTTCCAAAACTTATTCCAAAACCTGTTCGAAACGTTGTTCCAAATTCGCTACCTGAGTGGGACTGCTACAGGGCCGCAGAACAGCAAACGTCCACGAGTTCCCTACCCCAAGCAGTCTGGAAGTCCTGTCTTCGACTGCTCATTCTGGTCTTCCAGCTTTCAGGATGGTGCTGGTCACCCGTGCAACCCACGAACAGCAGCACATCAGATGAAAGAACCCACAAGCAGCTGGAGACTGATTGTCCGACTCTGTTCGGCAAGCATGCGCAGCCCTATAGGCGAACTTTGCGACAAGCTCTATAACAAAACACCCCGCAGTTTGTTGCGCAGGACAGCCCATGACTGTCAAATTTCACTACACCGTGCAACCTTCAAGTGTCGCTTCGACAACATCAGAGAGCGAAGCTTGTGCAGGAAACAGCGGCTGTTTGGTGCGCGATCGAACCCCGCCGCAGGCGAAACGGAACGTATCACTAAACTCTGTTCTGTACTGCAGCTATGGAAGACTCAACTGGAGTTCTTTGCGAACGACGAGCCTCAATAAGCGAGATCCGAAACGATCGTCCCCATGAAATTACAGAACAACTCGAGAATAGATTTTGTAACAGTTACAACAATTAATTCATTCTGGTATTCTTCGCATCAGGCTATATACAACTTGATGGACAATCGATTCTCGCCAAAGGCAACATGGAATGCGTCACTACACTCAGCTCTACGGCACAGCCATGGACGACTCAAGAGAAAAATTTGCGAACAAGTTTCCATAAAAGCCCTGATCCGAAACAACTGTCCCCATGAAATTTCAGAACAACTCGAGATCCAAAACAACTGTCCCCATGAAATTTCAGGACAACTCGAGAATGACTCCGGGAACAACAATTAAATCATTGTGCTACACCTCCCCGGTAGGCTATATACAACTTGTAATTATAGCATATGTCTAAAAACATTTCGGCTGACATGAAACAAGTAAAGCTACACTTTGCCACTGCGATGTTTATTTACGGCAACTTTGCAAAGTGTACCGGTGTACACCAATAACAGTGAACTGTTCACTGTGACCGATAGTGCAACTTCGGAAAAGTTAGCTTTCTTAAGGTACCCTGAAGCCTTCCAGACAATTAAGAAAGAAGATGCCCATTTGCCCGCCCGTGCGCAACCGCGCGCGCGCGCAGCGCCACTCCCCGCGCCCGCGCGCACCCCGCACCTGAGCACCTGCGTGCACGCACAGCGCCACTCTCCGCGCGCGCGCCCGCAAATCGCCCCTGCGTGCGGGAGGGGTGCGCGCACGTGTAAGTGGGGGGGTCTTGCCCGAGAACATGGAGGACGCGTTCACAAGTGGCACAGGCAGGATGCGGAGGAAGCGGTGCGCGCGCGCGCACGCGCACGCGCGCGCCCGAGCTGCTGTGCACTGGCGTGCTGTTTTCATACGGTGCTTGTGAGCAGAGAGGGCGCATGCAGAAAAGCTGGGCGGGAGGGATGGGACAGTGTCCTCGTGCGCGCGTTTGCACAGGGGCGGGGTGCACGCACGAGAGCACAGGGGGTGCGCAACCCACGGGTGCTGCATGGGGGCATTTTGCCAGAGCGCGATTGCAGAGCGTGCAGTACGCGCACGTACGCGCACGCGGGAGAATTGCGCGCTCGGCATGCAGCTCGTATATGCGTATATATATATATATATATATATAGATATATATATATATATATATATATTTACACATGTATATTTATTTAAATAAACACATACATGGGGTGCGCAGGGTTTGTGCCCTCAGATGCTCGGCGGGGGCTGCGCGCAAGCGCATGGCTGTGCACGGGACTTCGCGTGAGTGTGCGCACGGGCGGGGT